CTTGCCGGGCAGGGGAGGAGGCCCTCTTCCAGTCGGGGTACGCGGGGAGTGGCGTGGGGGTCTGGGGGCGACGCGGGTCCCGTCCCCCTTTCGGCAGCTGCCCTCCCGAGGGGTGGGGGATCCCCCTCTCTGTTCCCCGGGTAACGGCCGAAAAAGTTTCCTAGGCTTAGTGTGCTCTGCAGAGGCGGAGTAAGGACGATTTAAGCGGGCCTTCCGCTGATAATTTTGTGGCCGCAGGTAAGCGGTCACAAATAATTAGGAAAGGGGGGAAAAAAAACCCTTCACACCCCCATCTAAGGACATGTAGTATTTCATGCCCCAGAATTAAATACTATTTGCATGGGAGTACTGTGAGATCAACATTTTAAAGTGGGTGAGCAAACGTGCTTAAGGCTCCCCCCTGGGAGAGGAGCACTTTCTGACATGAAGACCTGCCAATAAAATGGGAAAGCTGTACCTTTAACTGAAGATTTTATCAGATAATATTAATTCTGAAAAAAACCCTTTGTTAATACTTAATGAGACTCTTACTTTCCCACTCGCTGGGTGAAACCTTTCCCATTCAAATAGTTCTGTGCTCCAGCATGTCCCAGAGGACTGAACAACTTACTTGGATTTTTTTTTACTTTGAACAAAATCTCCTTTGAACAGTCTTCTAGACTGCTTGCCATGAACCAACACAACTGGGTTTTTGCCCGTAGCAGAACTTTGGCCTGAAATATTTTTCCTGAAGAGTTCCTGCAGAAATGTGTTCTTCATTTGAATTGACTGCACTGTTGTTTAGTTGTATTAAATTTCTTCCAATTTTTCTGATTTTCATGTGTTGCGATATTAAGTCAATATTTAGGTATTGGTCAGCATGTGGAGTTGGGATAGCTTAAGGATATGAAGGAATTTTTCATTTCTTTTCCTTACCAAGACAGTGGTATGAGTGAATTCTCTCACTGAGAATTCCAGCGCTTCACATGAGTCACCTCTTGTAGACCATGGAGACTTCTTAGGACCCAGTATCTGGCAATTACTGTTAGCTAAATTGTCCTGTAGTTGATTCGGTCAGATCAACAACAGCTGGCATGAATTCACTGTCACTGATTCGGTTTAATAGTATCACTGAAGCATAACTAAAGCGAGACCATCAAATGATGTAGGAATCGGAAAGCACAATATCAAGTGGAATATGTGAATTAAAAATTCAGAATGACTTCTTTAGATCATTAGTCATGAAACATACAGGCATTTGGTTCAAATCAAAAATTAATTAAATTCATATCATTTAAAAGAAAATAATTTGTTGGTGCGATGAATGTCCTTTCTGTGTTTTTAGACTTTTCACCTCTGTGCTTGTGTCCATTCACTTCTCTAATTCTCAGGGATATTTATCCCCTACAGTGCTGACCAGGAGCAGTTTGGTACCTGTTCACAATTCAAGGAACATTTAATACCTTTACAGAGTTCCCTCTGTTGCCTAATTTCTCCATTTCTCCAGCCATGGACTTGTCTGTTTAGATTGCAGACTCTCGCAGGATGCTGTATGACCCAGCCTTGCCTGAGACCTGCAAGTGTTATCACTGTGTTAGTAATTAATACCAAAAATAATAGTGAGCTTTTGCTTAACCACAGGAGGAAAACTTAGGAGCTGATTTTTGTGATTTGGGTTTTCCTCTAGTGGATCTTTATTTTTAAGTATAAATCATGCTTTTTTCTGTTTGTTTGTTATTAATTCAGAAATAAGCACGTTACATCAGACTGTTATAACATTATCTTTTTAAGAATAGATTTCTGGTTTTCACTGAAATGAGATGTCCAAATAGTGTATAAATTGTTAATAGTATAATTATATAGTTTTTCTTCTGTATGTGTTGCAAACATTTGTCCCCTTCTTTTTCACTTATTTTTCTTTGCTATCCAGGGACAATCAGACTAGACAAATACAAGATGCTGTTTCAAATGTGGAAAAACATTTTGGTGAATTGTGCCAAATATTTGCTGGATATGTACGTAAAACTGCCAGACTACGAGACAAAGCAGATCTTCTAGTAAATGAAATATATGCATATGCAGCCACAGAGACACCAAACTTAAAAGTTGGACTGAAAAACTTTGCAGATGAATTTTCCAGACTTCAGGATTATCGCCAGGCAGAGGTACAAAATTAAAGCTGTACATGTTGTGTTTGCCATCTGAACTTTTCAGTTACTTATCTGTGATTAAAAGGGAAAAGATATATTCTGCAATCACAAGAGAAACATGGGAGAAAACACTTTTAAATATATTAGTGGCAGCGCAGGATAGGCTGCCAAAGCATTCATCAGTTCCTCTGCTAATAACTTTAGTGAAAACTGCCTGTGATTAGTCCTGTTGAAGTCAGTCAGACTATCCGTATGAGCACTCACAGAATTTGAGACAGAGCAAGTCTTTCATTGGTCTCAGACTTTGGATTATGGTTTATGGTTAATAAAGTGTTCTTTTAGTTTTGTGACTTCAGTTGTCTGGCAGCAGCTGAGGTAAAATCAGTCATTTTCCTTTTGCTGTTATCAGAAGCTGTATGGAAGAGAATGCTGACTGGAATCCTTCACTGGGCACTGACAGCCCCTCTGAGGTGCTGTAGGGGACCACTATAGATTTCGTAAGCCTGAAGTTCAACACTGAAAGTACAAACTTGATTTGGACCATGTCACAATGACAGTACAGTCACATTTCTGCCAGATAAGTGAGAGCGTAAAGAAAGGTGTTTATGCCACTTACACGTCTGTGTGTGAGGCCAGTCACACTGTAACTTATGATCCAGAATTCCAAATGCTGAGATTTAAGAAAAAATAAATTAATCTACATGTACTCAAACTAGTGTTTGGAGTACTTATCTATTCTTTCAGTAGGGCATAGAAAATTCCCATTTACAGTTTTGAAAAGTGAAGAGAACCATTATAATTTTAAAAAGAGACTGAAGTAGTTGACATTCTTGATGTTTTCAGATAGGACTTTTTAAAAAAAAAAAAGCATTGCAAGTTGTCTTTCTGTATTAACAAAGCAGAAAAAGAAACCTTTTAAAAGAAGTTAATCTATGAGGTATCTAGTCTACTAAATAGAGGGTTTGAAAAGCAAGAAGTGTACATAGATCTTTAACAATGTATTTAGAGCCAGATTTTTAAGAAGTAATAAGAAATCCAAGGGTGTGGATAGTGCGATTTCCCCCTCCCATAAGCTGTTACGCATCTGGCTCCAGCTGAGCCACGTGTAGGTCCTTATGCTTCAATTGATGTAATAGCAATTTATCCCTCTGTTAATAGGGTACTTTTATATCATGGCCAAAGGTGTATATGAAGTCAGACTGCATGATCTCTCTGTCCATTTTCACGTTTAAACTATGAATCTGTAATTTCGAGGTACCTATGTAACAACTTGAGTTCTGCTTCTTTTGATTTTTAAGGGTGTTTTTAAAAACTGACATTTGGCCTACATCCTCCCACCATGCCTGTCCTCAAACCACCGCTGCCTGTTGAAGGAGAAAAGGGAGAAGCAGCAAAGGAAAAGAGAAGCTTTTAGCCTTTAATTCCAGCTCTCCTTTGCTCATGAAAACGAAATAGATAATCGCAGCTTTATTTCTTTTGGGCATCAGGTTAATTAACAGTTCTCGTATATATTGACAACGTGGGCAAGAGAAAATAAGCTTATAAGGGTTATCAGTTTCTGGTCTTCAGCTGCAGTGCTAGATACATAAATGCTGAGGTGTGAGGTACTTCCGCAATGTGTGGAAGGGTAAATAAACAAGAAGGGTGGGTTATTTGCTATGTCTGTATCATGTGCTTCATTTAGAGCCTTACTGCCCTATTCCATTCTATTCTATTGGTAGTTTCAATGAAATTGTTTGATAGTGCCCTGGTAGTGTGTAGTAAAGGAGAAATGTTTGCTTAGTTGTCCTAGATTTTGGCTGACTGCTGACTGCCAGTTTAGAGGGGAGTGTAACGTCTCTCCCTTCCTAGTAGAGGTATGTACCTTGTCCTAATTCAGACCTAACAGCGATGGGCCAGATGACTCACTGGTCCAAAGTCATTGGCAGCTTATGCTGGGGCCACTCGGGCAGTATTGTCAATTTTGACAAGCAGGCAGGTCTTACACGTAGTGCCTCTCTGACCATATGTAGCTGTTTTTCTGACTAGGAGAACTGAAACAAAAATTCAGATGCATTCATCTATGAGAGCATTCAGGCATTTTACATAACCTGTTGTTGGTATTTTTAATATTTTCAGTACCTACGATGCTGTTTCCATTATTTTTAAGAACAGAAGTCTTGCATTTCTTACAGTATGTTTGATAGCAAAGATGGCTTAGTCCATAATGAACTTGTCAGAGCGAGTCCAGAAGACGGCCACAAAGATGACCAGAGGGCTAGAACACCTCTCCTATGAGGACAGGCTGAGAGAGTTGGGGTTGTCCTCTCTAGGGAGATGTTATTGCTGCCTTTTAGTATCTGAAGGGGACCTGTAGGAAAGATAGGGAAAATCTTTTTAGCAGGGTCGGTTGTGACAGGACAAGGGGTAATGATTTTAAACTGAAAGCAGGTAGATTTGGATGAGATACAAAAAAGAAATTCTTCACTGTGAGGGTGCTGAGGCAGTGGAACAGGTTGCCCAGAGAAGTTCTGGATGGCCCATCCCTGGAAGTGATCAAGGCCAGGATGGATGGGGCTTTGAGCAACCTGGTGCAGCAGAAGGTGTCCCTGCCCATGGAGGGGGGTTGGAACTAGATGGTCTTTAAGGTCCAACCAGCCCAGACCATCCTATGATTCTATCAACAAGTGTAGAGCAAACACATTGATCTTTGACTTCAGATAGAAAGCTACAGATCTCCAAGATGCAGTGTTTGATGTTACTCAGTTGTTAGAATCTCTATGTTTTACTTATCCTGATGCCAATGAAGAAAAGGAATTCCACTAGAAATAAGCTGGAGCTCCTCAAAATGCAAATTATTTACTGCTTAATTTAACTGACTCTGGGTTTTGCAATATTTTTAAAACCTCCATCCCACTATATTTTCAGGATATATGGATTAAATTCCTAGTAAGATGAATCGCTAGTAAATTAATTGTTTCTGCACACCATAGATGTGCATGGTTTTAGTGACGTTGTGATTTCTTTTGTAGGTTGACAGACTTGAAGCCAAGGTTGTTGAACCTCTGAAAAGTTATGGGACCATAGTGAAACTTAAAAGGGTAGGTTAAACATCTGTTTTCTCACAAGGCACATTTTGGTGTTCTGGCCACTCAGTCAAAAACTTCTACTTTACAGGGGGAAGTGGTTCTGATTTTTCATATTGCAGGAACCAGTCTGACTGAATTGTATAGAAATACATCTGAATTGAAGCTACATATATGTTGGAGGAAAAAAGCTTTGATGTGAAGACAAGGATATTCAGCACTCCTGGAGCACAAGCAAAAAAAGGCATTGTGGATAGTGTAAATTCCTGGATAGTGTAAATTCAGGATGTTTTTCTTTATAAATAATGTCATTCTTATTATTATTCCAAGTTCCAAAAGGTGAATTACGTGTAATGCTTTTGGCTCTTCGTCATTTATATGCTGCTTTAACAGTTTTTCTAACTTAGAATTGCATTCTACATTGAAGTTCATAATGTAGAAGACACTTTTTGAAACTGATAAATAGGTAGTGGCCTGAATCCCTCTCTTGTCCTGCAAAGGCATCAGGATGACCTGAAGATACACAAAACCCTGAGGTCTCTTCATCCGTTGTATTCTGGAAACAGTGTCTATAGGGGTTTGAAATATTCCCACAAAATATCTGTAAATTTTCTTTCCTCCAGGAGGGATAAGCTTGAGCGAGTAAATTTTAATAAGCAGACACTAGTATATAGGACGAAAGTAGTTCTTCATAATAAGCGTATATTACGTAGAGGATACCTTCATCCTGTAAACTCAAATCTGTAATTGATGTATATATCTGTATCATAATTCATATAAATCAAAAGGTAACGTGAACATTATTTGATGGTATTTACATACAAAAATAGGTGGTTAATTCGAGTACGTTGTGTCATTGCATCTCAAACCAGCATTTTTCATGTTTTTGTTCTTGTATCTTTTCAATACAGTGAAGAACCAAGTACAGTGTTTGGAACTTACTGCACAGCTCTCTCACTTGATTGTTAGAGAAACAGTTATGAAGGAAATGCATCCCGGACTTGCGTGGTACTACGTGTGGTAGTCCTTAGCAGAGTTGTAGACTATAGAGCCCGGTATCCTAGAATTTGGTATCTTAATAGTCACTCTGAAACCCAGTTTGTGAGACCTAGAACTGACCGAGTATTCTATAGGTTATAAATGTTGAAGGTGGAGGACAAGTTTCATGTGTTTATAGCAGGAGTGTTGCTGAGGAGACGCAGAGCACTACAGCAGTGCTTGCGGCTTCCGAAGCATTGAAGATAATGCCTTGAGGTGCATTGCCACTGACAGCCAGTAAACGCCAAGGACAGAAGCAACTGAAGAAGCCAGGTCCTCCCTTGCAACAGTGGATGGCATTTCCTGTTGTCTTTGCCTTTCAGAATGCCAGGAAGCATTACACAATGTTTATCTTGGCTACAGTGAGGAGTAAACTGTAGATGGGATTAACTTTTTTCAACATACCTTTGAACTAAAAGAGACTTCATGAAAGATGTAGGCCATTAAATTATTTTCTTTTTTCCCCTTGCCTGTTACTATAAGCCTTGGTTAAAACTTCAACTGTCTGGTCATCAGTTAGCATCTCTAAACGCTGGAATGTTTTTAGTGAAAAAGGAGGTTTTGTCATTCATGTAAAGCTAGCACAGGGTGCTATTTGTAGGACTGCTTCACCTGTAACTACATTAGCTGATTAAGTAAGACCAGTCAGAATACGTCATTATAGCACTTTTTATAAAGGGGATGTTCTCACTGCTATTTATTGGATCTGTTCCAGGGTGTACACAAACTATTTTTGTGCTGTATCTAAAAAGAACTGTTGCTGTTTTCTGTAGGGTAAGACACCAGTGTCCTGTGATACTAAATGCTTTAGAGAGGCACAGGTCCATCAGAATAGTGTTGTCCTTTAACTGCTTATGTCATAAAAACATTCCATTCACATGTCCTGGTTTACTATGCTGAGTAGCTCTCTGCGGCAGGATTTGGCAGCTTCAGTGGAAGCTAGTATCATATTCTTGTCCTGTGATGCAGCTTCAATGTAGGATTTTAGGATTTCTTTCTGTTTCATTGTTCTGTAAATCAATCTTCACTTTTCTGCTTTTTGGCGACTCTGTTCCTGGTTCCTTTTCTTCATGTAAAACAGGACATCATAAAACCAAGATGACCCACCTGCAGAAGAAAGGATTGGTTTGCTTTAATAACTTCAGTGACTAAAGCAGGTAACAGTACAGTGATGAGGATCTGCCAGCTCATTGTCTGGTGGAAGGACTGTAGCTGTACATCTGTATCGTTTGAAGTTGGATGGCTGACCAGAGTTCTTATGTGTGACTTTAATTCATAGTTGAAAGCCAGAGGGACTATGAATAATTTTATATTCTCTGTACCTGTCCTTAATTTCACTGGCTGTTCCATTCCATTCCATTCCATTTCTCCTTGGGTGTAATTCAAGCATATTTTCTAAAAACTTATCAAATCTTGGTCTGAAGACAGTGGAGGGGAATGTAGGACTGTTTGTGGTGGTTAGCGGTTAGTTGCTGTTTGTGGTGCTTTGTTTTAAAAGAAAGACTTCACCTGATCTTTGGTCCTTGTTATATGTTCCACTGAGACTAAAGAGCTCTGTGATGTTCTGTTTTTTTCTGGATGAAGGTATTTAGACGCTAGTAGAACCCATTCTTCATTCTTTTCAGTTAGCTGATAATGTAGACCTTCATTCTTTCGCCATAATGGCATTTTCCCCAGCTTTTGAGTATTTTTATGGGATTTTTTTCTGCACCCTTTTCAGTTTTTCAACATCCTAGACATAATGTGTATGTAACTGTGCCCTATCTTGGTACATCCAAAACTCATATATAGCTCCACCACTACAGCCACCGAAGCACCAGATCGTTGTCACGCTTTGGCTAGCAGAGAAGTGTGTTTGATGGCTGTTGTTGCTACAGAGAACAGAGGTAGAGAAGGGAACAGCGCAGTCTTAAATCTGGTTGGCTGTTTTAAGTGGGCCCACAAAGTCAGTGCTGTTAACAACGCCCAGTTTTTAAACACCACTAAACATGCAGCTGTGACCATCAGATACAAACCTGCTTTGTTCTGTGACAAAAATAAATGTTTTTCTCTTCTCTTTCTCTACCTTGAATTTAAAACTTAAAATGTAAAGCAGTAATGTTTTTTTTCTATTACTGCTTTTCTTGCAGCCGCGTGGTTTTCATAAAGGAGAAAGCCCTTTCCAGCAGTCTTTCAGATGGCCTTAAAGGTGGTGGAAATTCCCTTTTGAAAAAACAGCAGCAAAATTAGTTTTGATGATGCAGTTGTTTTTAGTATCAGAAACCAGCTGTGTGTCCCTAAAGATGAAGCAAAATGACAGTCATATACGCAAGGACATACAAACAGACAGTAAGGGTAGAAACAAGGAAGAAACTGCGTGTTTTGATCCTGACCATTATTGAGTAGAGGCTCATTATTGAAGAAACGCAGCACTCTGAAACTTGGCACGCTTGTGCTTGTCATTGACAAATGATCTGGTCATGGGATCACAAAACTTTTTGTAAGAGACACATTCTTGGTTGCATGCCTTTCTGGGTGAAGGAGACCTACAACCATGTTAAAATTCTGAAATCCAGAGAAGGAGCACAGACAACTTCACGAGATTATAGTTTTTAGTAGCTTTAACCCACTCCTTTCTGGAGTGGTAGATAAATGGGAACTGGTCTTTTCAGAGGAAATGATGGTTTGAAATGCATGCCCAACTCCTGCCTTAGATTTTGTTAGACTGATTCCTTTGGGCTGTATTTCTGCTTGCTCTAAGGTACTGCACCTTTAAATGAGAGCCATCAAAATTAATGTCATTTCCCATAACAGGGTCAATGGAGTGATAAATATCTGACTGACAACTTTAGATTCCACGTATGCCAAACTATTTGCAAAACACAGTTTTATAGCATGAACAAGAATTTGAGAGTGGTATGTAAACATTCTTAAATTGTCACACATCTTCCTAGAAGTACATCCTACTTCTCCTTTGGAAATGAGGAGCAAAAATATTTATCAACAGTTTCTGCCTTTTCTAGAACAGTAAGTTTCATCTTCTCCAGCTACATCATCACTAGGGTTTATTTTGTTCCAAATGTATTTAAGCACCTTACTAACTGCATATTTAAGTACGCAGTTTAACCCTTTCAGCCATGGATTTTCTATGGCACCTTAAGCTCTTTGCAGCAGTTCTGTGTTCTTCATAACTTCTAATTGGTACTGACTGCTGCCTGGTTTGGGTTTTTTTCTTACTGATTTATTTGATGCCACTTTTTCTTTCTAAATGCCACCTTTATTCCATTGCTAAACCTGGAATGGGCCTGTCTCCTTACTGCTTTGGGAATCTCAGCTTTTGACCATCTACTGTACTTTTCATTAAAAGCTGTAAATATCTTTTTCTTTTTTTCCCCACATTTAAATTACAGTGTGTGCTACAGAGAGTTGTGCAAGGTGCTAAATTCTCTTGGTCCCCATTGAATTCTCTTTCAGGGAATCATTTAACGGGATAAGATTAGTAAAATCTGGTTTTGTTTAAAGCAGAAGTTTTGTTCATGTTTTCTAAGCAATGCACGTATGAAGAAATGGGCATTTTGTGTTATCCTGACTCTATTTCATACATGTCTAAAACACTTTATTTCCAGGATGATCTTAAAGCAACTTTAACAGCAAAGAACCGAGAAGCCAAGCAATTATCTCAACTGGAAAAGACACGTCAGCGGAATCCATCAGATCGACACATTATTGTATCCTGTATTTCTAGTGGCTATAAAAAATATTTTTAACATTTCTCAGGAATTAAACTGTTGTGTTTAGTAAGTAATAAGGGAAGAATATTCTTTAGAGGGACTGTTTCCTATGTTGATGCTGAATCTTTTCTTAAACTTTATGATGGTTGTAGCTTATAATAGCTGCTTTGTTACTCCCTCTTTGAAAAGAAACTATGAAGTATTTGATAATGCAAGAGAGGTAGGCAGAAATTGCATCTAGGAATTTGGAGGGTTTTGAAAATATGTGTAATCAGGCAACTCCTTTTTTCCTTCTGTAGATTTTTTGTTTAATTGGTTTTTTCTCTGTCATTTTGGTAGTTGTGCTTCCTTGTACCTAGATGGGGTATGAGTTTCCTCCAGCTGTGAGATGAAGTGTGAAAGGAAAAGTTGTTACTCTGTTAGTAGAATACTCAACCAGACTACTCTCCTTTCAAAAGACCAGTGACCCTCCCCAGTATACTATTCTGTATCCCAGAGGGAAAAATTAAGCCTCCATAGAGTTTCCATTAAAATCTCATTGAAGTTTCAAATTCTGAAGCAGTCAGAATCTAGGAAATGCCAAAATAAAGGGGATCAAGACAGTCCTATTTTAGTGCTGTTTATTATTTCTTACACTCTGTTGTTGGACTCAGGAGTGAAGCAGTCTTATTTTTAGTAGGATTTCATCGACTTTGTTTCAGAAATAGGATCTTTCTAGTGACTGGGGCATAGGCCTGCAGAAAGAGCAAAAATGATTGTGATGGTCAAATGCCACCCAGGAGAATTAGATTTTATTTTAGTCTCTGCCAAAGAATTCCCATTTAATATTAATCAGATCAGTTCAGTGATGACTAATTCGAGTTCCTCGTATAATAAATATACACGGATGTCAGCTGTAGGGTTAGAACTTGAGCTGTGATGCAGAGTACTCCTTCATTAGAATTAAGGGAGTAAATGGTAACATAAGCTATTGTTGTGGTTTAACCTGTCAGGCGGCTGAACACCACCCAGCTGTTTGCTCACTCCCCCCTTCCCCAGTGGGATGGGGGATAGAATTGGAAAAAAAAGGGAAAAGAAAAAGTAAAATTTGTGGCTTGAGATAAAGACAGTTTAATAAGACATAAAAGGAAGGGAAAATAATAATAGTAGCATATACAAGTGATGCAAAATGCAGTTCCTCACCACCCGCTGACGGATGCCCAACCAGTTTCTAAACAGTGGTTCCTCCCTTGCCAACTCCCCCCAGTTTGCATCCTGAGCATGACGTCCTATGGTCTGGAATAGCCCTTTGGCCAGTTGGGGTCAGCTGTCCTGGCTGTACCCCCTCCCAGCTTCTTGTGCATCTGGCAGAGCAGGGGAAGCTGAAAAAGTCCTTGACTTAGTCTAAGCACTACTTAGCAGCAGCTGAAACATCAGTGTGTTACCAACATTCTTCTCATCCTAAATCCAAAACACAGCACTGTGCCAGCTACTAGAGGAAAACAAATTAACTACCCCAGCCGAAACCGGGACAGCTGTTCTCCCCAAAGGGAGACTGGGCCCATTTTTCTCCCTGTTGTGCTAATTTCCAGCTGATTACATGGGTGTATGGCTGGCACTTAGCTTGTTTCTTCTTGTCTCTTTGCTAAGCTACTCCCAAATATCCTCCTGTGGCTTAGCTTCTTGTAACACCTGTGTTTTCTGTACTTAAGACTTTGCCTGAAGAGTTATTAAATCTCAGTACAGTCTGGTTTTGCATATGGCCAAAGGCACCAAATGCTACATATTTGCATTTTAAAGTGATCAACACAAAATGCATAAAAAGTATTGGGAGCAGGAATATGTTAATTTACTTTTAAGGATGTATACAGGTCAGCTTTTAGGTCTGAGAGAGGCTTCGTCGTGTTTGTTAGCATAGCTGTTAGGCTCCAGCAGTGGTTCTGCTGTTCTTGAGCAACTGTGATGTTTCAGCAGCTAGTGACTTTGGCCACAGATAGCAAAGCATCTGTACGCATTCCTAAATTTCAACTCCATCTTATATAATGTAGGGGTAGTACAGCTTTGAAAGGAAAACCCTACCAGATTTTTTTTAAATAGAAAAATGCATTTTTAAAAATCAGAATCTATTTTTTTTTCCCTGAAGTGGTCTACCTAGGCTGTCTGATTTTTTTTTTTATTTTTTTTTTTAAATAAATAGCCAAACCCTCAGTCCCTGAAGTGGTCTACCTAGGTTGTCTGATTTTTTTTTTTTTTTTTTTTTTTTTAAATAAATAGCCAAACCCTCAGTCCAAGACAAACAGCTGTCCTGAAATATTTTGGCCTGGATACTTGAATTTTAGCAAACCTATAACAAACTGTAAGTAATGTCTTAACAGCAGGAAGCTTCAGACAACGTAATAGCACCCTCCAAGTATACAGGTGGCATGAAATATCTGAGTTAAGTACTTCACAACATGTTAAAAGTAGATGTAAAAACTGATACTTTTATGAATATTGATTGTTATTTTGCCATTTTTTCCTTTACTAATATTTCCAGTCCCAGGTGGGTGTTTCAGAAGAGAAAATACCAAACTGCTGTTGTGCAAACTCTGCAAGTTCTGCAAGTTTAGACATTTCACTCTACAGCAAACAAAATTCCTTTCCCAATGCATCTGCACACCAAATCTGGCCAGGCTACTTCAGATGGATCGAGAAGATACATTTGATTATCATAGAAATAACGTACTGTATTTGTCTGTGTAACAGCTGCTTATGCATAACAGAGAGTGACTGATTGTAATAATTGACAATGCACAAAACGTCTTTTCTTACTCTGTTTCCCTCCAGTGTTTTGGGCAAAATCAAGAAAGGGAGATGAACATGTGACTTTATGTACTACTAAAGATCATTACCAATTTCGTTTGCCCAGTAATGGCAGAATTGTGTCTGTGACTTTAAGCTGGTTTTGTAAGGAGATTGTTTCAAATTGATAATCCTGTAACGTAAGGTTAGAGATTTTAATCAAACAAAAAAAGTGACAGAGCATGCCTTATGCCTTAGGTTTCCATATACGTGTAACACTAAAAACTAGACCCTGGGAACTGGGCCTTGGTGTCTATTTAAAAAAAAAAAAAGTTCCTCTCTTAAGTTGCAGCATGGTAGAAATGGGAAGGATCCTGCGTGTTGATCGTAGGATACAGTTACTTGATCCGTATACTATTTCCAAATCCCAGGACAGGATAGATCCCTGATGATACTCACTGACAGAGCCTGTAAATAAATGCTGCCTTGACTAGTCTGATGTTTGACCAGTATTGTATGGAAAATAAAATAAGTTTAGACCCAAATTTTACAGTCTTCAAGTGCAAGCTCTTACATCTTTACATCATTATTTTGTAATAGTACATAGTTCTCAGTCTTTACTTAATCAGAATAGCTTCAGCATCTTTATTTAAATGGTAGTGTGCATTTTTATATAGTTCATAGTCATATCTAATTAAAATACATATCTAAAATGCTTTTTGTAGTAACAAAAGAAACACTGTGAATTTATGCATCAGGGATTGGATGGTGCGTCCCCTTCCCAGTACCCTGTTGAAGATGGTTTTTATAAAATATTTTAATATAAAAATACTAAAAATATAAAATACCTGAAATGCTTTTGGATCTAAAAGTGGTATTAACTCTAGTCTGCTGATTGAGATACTTACGGGAGAAGGGCATTAGTTCCAGCTTATGCTTTATTGTCTCTTTAAGTAATTTAGAAAAACTCAGTAAGACGAGGTTCAACACATGACACTGGAAAAGATTAGTTCTAGACCCAGCAGGTTGATCTGCACTTGAAAATAAAGGGTGACCTTTTCCGCTCATCTGCCACTCTGGTCTGTGTGCTCCTACGCTCTCCTTTACACCAGCTTAAAAAAACCCTTAACTTGTCTGAACGGTAAACCCTTGTGGTGGGCTAACTCCCTGAACCCAGTCACTGTGTTGTCAGCAGAGCGTCAGGGCTGGCCCAGTGGAATTGGCAGGTGATTATCACAGAAAATGGATTAGGGCAGTAGGACTTTGCCGACTGGCTGCAGCTACTCATTTTTCATGTTTCAGATCAAAGTCACGACAGTGTAAAAGGCATCTTTATTTATTAGGCTACAAACAAATTTAAAAATACAGTAACACAGATGTGTAGTATTTTGAAAATCCAGACTTAAATGTTTTCATGGCAATTAGAGCAAATAACTTCGTATCAAATACAGGACTAATTCCACCTTTGTGTTACTTTACCAGGCGGAAAGTGAATTGCAGAGAGCTTCATTGGATGCGACTCGAACAACTCGGCAATTAGAGGAAACCATTGATAATTTTGAGAAACAGAAGATAAAGGACATAAAAGTATGTGCTCATGTTTCAGTATATGACAATACATTTCATCTTGCATAATAAAATTACTATAGGTACTCTTTGGCAAGATTAGCAACATTTAGTATTACCTCATGCCTACATAAATATAAATCTTGTCGTATTCATGAATATTTCATAATCCAAATATCATGAACTTTGCAATTAAAAAAATCTGTTCATTATTCTTACAGTTTATTGAATTCAGAATTTTCCTGTATTTGATTGTTTAGCACCTGTACCTTCCAACAGCTGCTGCATTCTACCTCACTGATAGCTGCATTTGTTAGTGGAATGATAGATGTAGATTAATATCGGCAAAATTAACAGAAATCATGATAAGTAAATAATGTATTTATCCATGATGAAATTTGTGTAGTTTACTGCAGTTAAAAGTTTTACTGATGCAGAAAGTACAAAGTGTTCAGTGACTGCAAGTAATCAAAACTTTAATTTCTCTCTTAATGTCAGACATTGAATGGCTTAAATCCCAAAGACTATAGTGACTGGAAAACACTTGCATTATGTGCTCTCAAATTTAATTACAAAATTGCTGAAGTGAGATTTTTTTTTTTATTGAGACCAAAAAAACCCCAGACTAAATAGAAAATAATGAAAGATGGTTGAAAAGCCCAACCAAACCATTCAGTACTTGATGTTCAGAGTAATATGAAAAAGATTGTGTGAGTTCTGAAGATGTCATCATTAAGTGTTTTTTATATATAAAAAATATTTTATTATATAAAATATATAATTATCTGTAAATTATAGATATGAGTAGAATTTACAGATAATTTATCCCCAACCTGTTAAAAAAGATTGCCATCAATAAAGCAAAAATCCACTGACTACATCTTGTGAATACACATCGGGGAATATCAAGTGAGTTTTCAGCGTGACATTTATTCCTAATGAATCTCCTCTTCGCTCTTCAAGTGTTTACTTAGAATTTAGTATACAATGACAACTGTGTATGTGACAGCCCAGCCAGCATTTAAATTTAATTTCTAAAATGCAGGTCTGGCTACTTAAAAGTATGGGGTATCGTGCAGTTATTTGTATCATATAAATACCAAGTACAGAATTCAGTAATTACTTGTATTTGAAGTGGAAATGTACTTTACTGTATTAAGAAAACCTTTGTTTTCTTTTGCTTTTAGAATATATTTTCTGAATTTATAACTATTGAAATGTTATTCCATGGGAAAGCTTTAGAGATATTTACTGCTGCCTACCAAAATATCCAAAATATTGATGAAAACGAAGATTTAGAGGTAAGAGTGATTAAGATTTGCTTTTCAGTTTACTTACTACATAAAAACACTTTTCACGCTTTGGGGCTCTACGTGTCCCAAGCAGAAAACGCAACATACGTTTCAGGTTCCCAGGACAAACTTCTTATGTATACAGAGCCCATCTTTGCACTTCTCCAGCAAGAGCATGCAGATTTATAAACTCAGAGATTTCAAAAACAGAACAAATGCCATGGCAACCTAATCTTTCCCACAATATAGAGATAAGAGACTTTTCCTAAATTAACTGCCACTCCAAGCTCAGCTAATCATAGTTCTTAAAGAACACCTCTGCAGTGAATCTCGCTGTAAAGATGCACAATAAGAGAAAATCTTACACTGCTCTGATAAGATGTTCTAAAGACTAATTACTTCATTAAAAGTCTTGTCTTCCTATTCTGAGTTTTGTTTGCTCATTTTCATCTTTCAGTCATTGTTTTTATTCGGCTGTTCTAGAATTAAGATACTTGTTACCAAATTGCTTTTTTGCCTTGTGGCAGTGATAGCTTCCTTTCAAGTCATCCTTTCTGTTCTCTTTGACTTATAACCTCTCTTTCCCAAGACATGTTTTTCAGTCCTTTATTCTTTCTTGAAGTTTTTCTGGATGTTGTGCCTTTAAACTTACTATCATTGAAATGTATGTTGTGTATATGTGTTCAGCTTGTCAAGAAAGTTGGATCATTTTCAGTCTTCTTTTGTAAATCTTACTAGTCCTAGTTTTATTTTTTTCCATGACATAGCTCAGGACCAAGGATGGCAGTGTTCAGTTAGCACAGGACATACAAAATCACAGTTCTTCAGTGGCAGTCACATTCGAGACTACTTGGTATTTTTACATCATTTAAACTATGCCATGTCAATTTTTTACTATTCTGGTTTCACAATTAAAATGTCACGTGGCACCAATTAAAAAATATCCTTTAAGTCAATACTTTATCTTTCACAACTAAATTTATAATCTCATTTTAAATTTCCTGTTAATTGGACAATATTTACTTCCTATAAAAACATTAACTGACCATAATTCTACCATCTTCCTTGACTTCATTATTAATAGTCTTGCACAAATAGCTTTATTAGTTTTAATCAGGCTGTTAGTCTTACAATTTACTCTCTTGGGCTATTGGAAAAAACTTGTAAATATGATGGATATTATGGTCTCCCCTGTATTCTAAGGGTTTTCCCAGATTTTTCTTGAGCTTCATATCTCCTGAACATCTCAGGTAAAATTTCTCTGATGCAGCTGTGACCGGCAGCAAGGATTTGGTTGTGAAGGGGCTAAGAGTTCATCTCTCCAAGAAATGGAGAGCCTGAAGGGAGTTGCTGTGGTTCATACCTCTATGTTAGCCTGAAACTCAGCTACATATGTTTGTGGGAAACCACTGCAGTTTTCCACTTGTAAATCCCATCAGATCTCTGAAGAATCTTTCCTTTGACCACGTAAGTGTGTTGAGATGTCTCAGGTTGAGCAAGGATGTTGTTTCAGCTAAAAGAGATCAATCCAAAATACAGTTGATGCGTATACAGCCTGTAAACCTCTACAGCAGGTTTAATTATCCAATGCTGCATTTTCGTTAGCTTCAGTCTTGGTGATTGTTAGCTTGCAAGCTGTATCATGGCACCCATATCACAGCTTTCTTCATTTGAACAGGTTTTTCGAAGCTCGCTTTATCCTCCGGATTATCAATCTCGCTTAGACATAGTTCGTGCAAATTCAAAGTCCCCCCTGCAAAGAACTGGCTCCTTAAAATCTTCACTGAGGACAGTACAGGTAAGAAAGAAAAATTATGCTAGATCACACTATTAAAAGAATGTCTTAAGTAGAGCCTTAGCTAATGTACATGTACATGGATGCACGGTCTTTACTCAGCTCAAAACAGTTACAAAGGTAGAGACTTCCAAGGGCACAAAGATTATACTAAGCTTTTAATAGTGCAGCTTCTAAATATCATTGTTATTTGAGGGAAAAAAAAATCAGCTTGTAAACCTGTGTTGTTTGCTTTTGAAAAATGCCATTTCCAGCAATACTGTTTTTTTCATCAACAAACTGTGGCATCTTGCAGAGAAAAGATCTCAGAGCTTACTGGAAACAGAAGTGACGTTCTTTAAGTAACACTTGTATATTCTTAGTCTCAGTATCCACATCCTAGAGTGTGGATTCTCTACCAGATCCTAACTCGAGCTAGTGGTATCTCCTAGCAGCAGAGGAAACCCATGGCCAACAGACCTTTCTTTCTATACTCTGAAAATTCAAAGCAGGTGAGGAAACAGAGGATAATAAAAAGAAGTGAAACAGATGGACAAAGCACCACTGCTTTTGAACCAGCTACCTTGCAAAAATCTTTTGACACTTGTTTGCAGCAGTAAATTTGCAGACATTGCAAAATGTCCAGGTTATTTTTCTTTATTGCAGCTTTAATCCTGTAACTAAGAAGATTTCTTACCAGTGTTTCAGTTGAAGACAAAGATGGCCCAATTTAAAACTTACGCATCCCACTTTTCTTCTTTGGATAGAATCATGCATTGATACTGTAAGACTAAAAAGTTTTCTTGCCTTCATACACACCATTACCCCTTTTCTGCTTTCAACACAGAAAGGATCAATTATTACAGTTGAGTTACTCTGTTGTTGAAAGTATGAGTCGTGCCATCTGAAAAGATAAAAGAGCCCAGTGATTCAGTGCATGAAGACCAGCCTTGACTTTGAATACATTGCCTGTCCTTTCTGTCAAACAAGCAAATTTCGCATTCAGGCTACTTCAGAAAATGTTTACCCATTCTTATTTTTTCGAAGACCAGAGGAAGCTGTAAAAAAATCTGTTGCCATCTTCCTTGAGAACTTACTGCAGTGCTGTAAAACTGTATCAAGGGTATAGAAGCATCTGTAATTATTTTGAGGTGCCGCAGATAACTATGGTTTGGACTCTCTTTAAAAAAAAACAAAAAGCCCAAAACAACAGAAAACTGAATGTGTTCCAGATTTCTCTGAGAGATGTAGTGGAACTCTGTTTTGAGTAACTTGCAAGTTTATCTTACTTTCTTCTAGACCTCTCTTTTAGCTGTAACTTCAGATGTTAATGTTCTCATAGCTTCTCACTGGAATATCTGAAAAGAACAAGAAGTCCTCTAGACCTAGAGGGAAACTGCAATAATTTTCAAAGTAATGTCATCTTACTGGGCTGTACAGTGTTTCTGCAGAGGAGGATCACATGGCAGAAAAAAGGGGCCAAACATGCTACTAATGCAGTCACTCTAGGACAGTAAAGAAGAGACAGGCATCCTGTTCCGCACACCCTCCACACTGCCCTTTCTGATTCTACAAATAGTATGTTGCATCAGGATCAGTACCTTGAACTACACTAAGGGCTCTAACCTCTGGAGCCTACTAAACATCTCACTAGCTGAGTTCAGAAGAACCTCCAGGTGACTTGTTTTACCTTTCTGTGGATCTTTCACCCCAGCGTTTTCACAAGTCTGGTTTCATGCTACATAATAACAATTTACTGACCATAATGCTGTACTTGGGAGTTTTCAGTTTAAAGCAGTGTAAATAATACAGTAAGCTGTTCACAGAATCACACAGACTAAGACTAGGAGCGGGGATGGGGACCAGGACAAGACAAACATTAACTTAGAGGTGGGGGGCCAGCCAGGAAGTCAGTGCATACCAGATGGGATAAACTGTGCCGGTAACACAATACTTGTCTTTCAGAGGATTTAGCACATACCATCCTTGAATTTATTTCTGGTTCTGTGGACTACCTTTCTGTATTATTTCTGTATTAAAAATCTAAGGTATTCCTTGAGCTTGATTCATTTTTTTCCCAGAGAGCTAACTCCTTTTACAGTTCTGGTGCCTTAACGTGATGTCATGTTGCTTTGTCAAGCAACGTGATAATCTAAGTGTGTCCTGTCACTTACTGCTGGAGTGAGTATTCTGGAAGGGGTACTATACGTTAAATAACCAAAAGCAGGAACTTGCAAAGACCCCTGGTATTTTTGCATCCATTAGTTGTTTTCAACGCACTCAGACTAGCTGAAGCAACTGAGATGCTAGTTTCTCCATCCTACCTGCCAGACTCCATTTAGCAGACCACAAGGAAAGGAGCAATGGGCAGTCCTGTTAGAAAGAATTAATGTCCCAAGCTGCACTGGCCGTACAACAATAAGACTTGCATTTCTTCATTTCTATGCAATTAATATGATCAGGAGTGGAAACTCCTATGCACCAGGAAAGCTGTTTTTCATAGCATGGCTCCCTATTGTGAGAAAACCCCTTCAGGGGTTCAGGGATTTTTTTAAACATGACTGCTGCAGATACTTAGTTTTACACAAGTTCGGAAAAGGCTATTTAAGTTTTCACGACAATGCTTTGTAAATCCCTTCGTTTTGCACTTTACTTGACAATGTATCTTCAGCATTTCAGTTTACTGATTCAGGTTGGTATGCTGTACTTTAGGCACAACTATAGCAGAAGAGAATGACTTTTTCCAGGTAGTTAAAATCAAACTTAACCACACAAGTTTTATGCACGTGCATTTAATATAGCCAACTATATTGCACCTGCCCTGCGAAGTATCATTTTAACCATGGTTGAAAATGTCTGCATCCAGGTGTTCCAACATTGCCTGCTGTGTAAGACATGAGAATTGCCGTGCTTTCTGTAGTAGCACATGCAGTGAAACATGCAGCTTAACAGCTTAAGCAAGGACAGTCATCACCTATGTGCAAACTTAGAGAATTCATTTCCACATAAAATCGTTTATGATGAGCAACAAATTCTCAGATTCCATTAAATTTTTAAATTTTTTTTCAGCATTAAGTAATCAAAAAATCAATTTTCAAGTACTGTTATGTTCTATCTTTATGGCAAAATAACATGGATATAAACTGCCCAATTTCCTTTCTCCCTTTCCTTACTCTGATCCAGTTTTGTTCTTAGGTTAGCCATCTTACCGCCACCTTACCACCACCAGTGATAATATTTTATTTACTATTCAGTTAATTACAGCATGGTCAGAGGTACTTGAGTAGTGAGCAGAAAAAAGCCTTAAAGCCAAAATAACACCTCTTCAGGAAAGGGGAAAGGGGAGCTTTTATTCAGAAATATGACTGACGTTCTGCTTAAGAATTGCAGATGCTCTTAACTAGAAAAAACTTGGAAAATTAGTCTGTCCATTGAAATGAACCTACCTTAACAGGCTCAATCTGCAGCACTCCTTAATCTCCAATTACAAATCAGTGCCATTGTCTTTGTCTTCTTTACAGAATAAAAGATTGCTGGTTTAGGCATTTAGACTCAAGTTAACCCAGCTTCATCCAGTGATTAATTCAATTTTCTGTTATGTTCAGAGATTTGCAAGTAAGCGTTTGCTTCAAGCTAACTTATTTGCATTAACAAGACTAAGGATTTTTCTGCTTTGTTGTGGTTTAACCCCAGCCAGCAACTAAGCCCCACGCAGCCACTTGCTCACTCCCCCTGTGGGATGGGGGAGAGAATTGAAGGGTAAAAGTGAGAAAACTCATGGGTTGAGATAAAGACAGTTTAAAAAGCAAAGCAAAGCAAAAACCACACACGCAAGCAAAGCAAAACAAGGAATCCATTCACTACTTCCCCTGGGCAGGCAGCCGTTCAGTCACCTCCAGGAAAGCAGGGCTCCACCACATGTGACAGTTACTTGGGAAGACAAACGCCATCACTTCCCCCCTTCCTCCTTCTTCCCCCAGCTTTATATGCTGGGCATGATGTCATATGGTGTGGAATATCCCTTTGATCAGTTGGGGTCAGCTGTCCTGGCTGTGTCCCCTCCCGGCTTCTTGTGCACCCCCAGCCTACTCTCTGATGGGGCAGTGTGAGAGGCAGAAAAGGCCTTGACTCTGTGTAAGCCCTGCTCAGCAATAATGAAAACATCCCTGTGTTATCAACACTGTTTCCAGCACAAATCCAAAACACAGCCCCACAGCAGCTACTGTGAAGAAAATTTACTCTACCCCAGCCAAAACCAGTGCATGCTTTCATTAGTTTAATGATTGCCGCTTGCTTTATGCACATACAAAACCCTTTTGTTACATGCATAGCTATATGAATAATGAAATCTCAGAAGTCAATTTCACAACCAGCATTTAAGGACTTTTAAAATAGGGGGTGTTAAAAAAAAAAAAAAGCAAGTTTTGTCTTCAATACTGAAGTTTTCTTCTATCACTGTATGTGAGAAAACTCAGAAAATACAACCAAAATTAGAGCTGCAGGTGCCCTTAGAGAACCGCTGAACCTAAAATAATTTTTCAAAAGCATTCCAGATGACTTGGATAATTGTCTTTAATGCTCCTTCTCTCATGGGGAAAGAAAAAAAAATACGTGTATTCTATTTTAAATTGTAAATGTTGCATCTTCTGTGAAGAATGTCTTCAAAAGGAATTAGATTGAGCCCTCATTAAAAAAAAGTATAGATGGCAGAATCTGTCAGATGAGATGAAAGCTTGGCAGCTGGCACTTGTTTTTAACATTTGATGAACCAAAAAAGGACTATGGTATCATTCTGGAGGGCAAGCACTGATGGGCAGGGGAAGAAGTTCATATATGAATCAAAACTTTTCTAGTAAAGTTTGTCTAATTTATTCTCAAACATAGCTTTGAGCAGCATAGTGTTGAGTTTTTCATTTAACTGAAGAGGTTTGATGTGTTCAAGATAGGATTATGCCTTAATACTCATCTTCAGCCAGCTGTCTCAACAGCCAACCCAGAAAAAAAACAGAATCACATCCTCTTGATTTTTAACATTAATTCGATCAGTGCATAGTTTTTCCTATCCTGTAATAGTTCTCAGGACTATGAGGATTTTTCTTAGCTTTTAAAAATCATTACTGTATTTATGTTCCGTGCCATGTATCTTTCTGTTGGTATTGTGCATGTTACCAGAAGTTGAAGGGTTAAGGGGTAAACAACTTCCCCCCCTCCTCCTACAGGAAAAGCCTACAAACACTTAAGACTGGAAATGCCAACAGAGAATTGTATTGTTTTCCTTTCAGGAGAACAAACCCTTGATTTACTTCCGCTGGATTTTTGTTTTAGCAGATTTCCAGCAGTATGCTAAGAAAAGATGAAGAAGAAGAGGAGGAGGAGGAAGATGAAGATGAGGAAGAGGATGATGATGAGGAATTAGATGCTACTAAAGAAGTGAGATAACAAAACTGTTCTGTCTTTTTTGGTTTTTTTTTGATTGGGAAGAAAAAATATTTCCCTTAACGTAAAGGCTTTTGTGAGGCTGTATTTTTAAAATTCCAGCAGGAGCAAGAATTGGCACTAATAGTAGAGTGCCAGAAACAAATGATCAGTTTCAAAGAATGGTACAGAATCTGCTGAAAATGGACAATTTCAGTAGATAGAAAATGAAATGTTTAAATAGAATCCTGTATTATATTTGCATAGATGCTATATTGCAGTCACATTTGCTTAAACTTACATGAGGAACAGTGTCCAAAACCTGCACTAAGCTGAAAAGCAGTTATGAACATAAGGATTTGCTTGTTACTTTGCCAATATATTACCACCTTCTCTAGCTACACACCTCTTGGATTTACGAAGTCCTCTAGCTATACCTGTCATAATTGCTTTTATACATCCTAAAGTAACTGTAGTACTCAAGAAACTGACTACAGCAACAATCCTGTTGCATTTCGTTACCTGCCTTGGATGGCAGAAGGCAGGGTGAGGTGTATTTTCTCATTCTCATTTTCTTCAGGCTTGACTGGGATGACTTTTGACTCCTTTACACATACAGAATGAACATTAACAAATAAGGACCTAGCTCAGTATCTCCTTTTAATGCTGCTTTGCTTTTAAATAAAAGTGCCTTCATAATAAAGCCAGTTGATATTTTCTATAGTTGACATTTATTATATTGGTTGACATGCTATATGTAGTTAAGTTTTCTGTGTTTAACTGGTTGATGCAGTTACCAATTCCATCAAACATACAAGAAATTACACATTTTGAGTATGATTTCTTACCCTGTTTGGAGATGGTGGCTATGCACATTCATTTTTGAATAGCATACAGGTGTCTGCCAGAAAGCTGCTACCATACTTTATCTCCAGCTAAATGTAGAAAGAACACATGTATAAATCTAGAATTTAAACTTGTAACTGGGAAAGCAATCTTAAGTTATAACCAAATAGCCTTTCGGTTAAGGAAATAAGCCAGAAAGTGCATTTTTAATATTGATGCTGCCTTTGTCCACTGAGGCAAAGTGTGGAACTCAAACTTGTTTTGACAGGTGAGAAAACAGGTTTTGCCAAAAATTAATGTGATGAAAATATAAGTGAAAATGTCACAATATGGGGTTGTTTTAAACCCAGAAAATAGTTTTGCACCAGAATTACATACTGTTAATATTGAACTACTTGTTGACAAGGAGCAGAATACTAATAACCAAAACTTAAGAGCTATCTAGGTAATTAATTCCCATCTATTTCAGCAAGTAGGGCACTTCAATAAATATTTGTATCACAACATCAGAATTATGATGACCACCACTTTACTATTTCATACTCAATGAAGTCATGCAATCCAGAACAGCTGGTTAACTTCATGACTATACCAGGTTTTCATATAATAGATATATGCAAATAGCAATTATTGCTGTACTGTGCTTTGAAAAGGAAATTCTGAATAAAAAGGAAGCCGTGCTTACATTAATTCCCACTAAAAAATTAGTAGCTAGGGTATGGAAAGAGAATTTTTTTTATCCTCAGCAGATTCAAATTCCTTCTCCTTCCCTATCGCACACAAAAAAGTCAACTTCAGGAATGACAGAAAAACTTACAGAAAGGGAGAAATACGATGTTGGGCAACTTTGCCCTGCGTATGTGATGCCTGAAATTTGCCTATTGGACAGAAATTGTGTCATCTCAAAACTACACATGAAAAAGTCACTGATTAATGTATTTTAAAGCCAGAAGCAGCTAGAATGTAGTTACAGAATTAAATATTACCTAAAGATACTTCTGCAAAGATTTTTCTTGTGGCGTGAAGTGCTGAGTGCAAGACTGACAGTACTCCACTTGTTCATACATATTTTTGACCACTGACACGTAGACGATGCAGGCTTGTATCCATTCTTGCTAAAGAGTATTTTGCCACTCAGTTGAACATGCTGGCCCATCCCTTTGGGACTACGGGTTACGTTCTTGTACTCATCAGATTGTCACACCTTACGGCTTTCCTGGAATGCCTCAAGCTGCTTCTTGATGTGATCACTGTTACTAGTTTTTGATGACAGACTGTTCTCCTTTAAATCATAACTTTTGGACAATGGTAGCAAAAGCATCCTCAGAGTAAGCATAACTAAGGAAACTAGCTATATTCTATATCAGTACCACAAACTGGAGCATTTCCTTTGTTATTCTTTTACTATACGGG